GCTCAAGACCAAGTGGGGATTCAGAGAGGAGGTGATCTTAGAGCAGTCTTTGGGAAGTGACTACATGATGGAGGTGCCATTCATTTAGGTGGAGGAGACAAGAAGAGAAGCAGGTTTAATGAGAGGGGATGGGATTCTATAGGGAAGTGAAAATAGCAATTATGAATTCACTTGTAGACATGTTGAATTTGCAGAGTTAGTAGCTCTCCACGCGGCTGGAGACCATTCTGGCCTGGAAGTAGATACCTGGGAGGAGAGACGAGAGGCTGCATGCTCTGGCCATACCTCTTCACAGATGGATAATGAAGAGCTCAGAGGATGCCTGAATTCTTTATTTTTTTTTAATTGGATATCAACTACAAAACCAGAGATATCAAATAAAAGTCAGGATTTCCACCTCCTCTTCCAAATTGGAAGCTCTGGTCACGCTGGGCCCACATTCTGGAAAAGCCACAGTAGGCTGGTAGAGGTGCCCACGACTCCAGATGGGACATAAAGTTTTCAGCTAGTCCACCCCAGCAGGTCTGCTGCAGATTTCACTCAGGACCTGGTCCTGGTGGCCCTGGAATTTCAATCTCGGGCGTAGGCAGGGGTGATATCATAGAAGGGGAAAAAGTTGGTCTGGGACACAGCAAATATTTTCTTCCATCCTGAGGGTTGCCTTTTCATTCTCTGGATCGTGGCTATTGAGACACAAAAGTTTTGATGAAGTTCAATTTACTTATTTTTGATTTTGTTGCCTGTGCTTTTGGTGTCATGTTTAAGAAATCATTACTAAACCCAATGTTATAAAGCTTTCCCCTGTTTTCTTCTAAGCTCTTTATATTTTTAGCTCTTAAGTTTATTTAATTATTTTATTTTGGTGAGGGGAGGTAATTAGGTAATTTTTTTTTTTTCAGAGGAGGTACTGGGGATTGAACCCAGGACCTCATGCATACTAAGCATGCCCTCTATCACTTGAGCTATACCCTTCCCCTTAGCTCTTAAGGTTAGATCTTTGATCCATTTTGAGTTATTTTTTGTATGAGGTGTAAGGTAAGCATTCAACTTCATTCTTTTGCATGTGAATATCCAGTTTTCCCAGCACTATTTGCTGAAAAGACTGTCCTTTCCCCATTGAGTGGTCTTGGCACTCGGCAAAAATCATTTGATGCCAGGGTTTATTTCTAGACTCTCTATTCTATTCCACTGGTCTATATGTCTGTTTTTATATCAGTACCACAGTGTTTTTATTTACTTTGCTTTGGTAGTAAGTTTTGAAATCAGGAAGTGTAGTTCTCCAATTTGGTTCATTTTTAAGGGTGCTTTGGCTATTCAGGGTACCTGAAGATTCCATGTGAATTTTAGGATACATTTTTCTATCCCTGCAAAAAATGTCATTGGGATTTTTATAGAGATTGCATTGAATCCACAGATTGCTTTGGCTAGTATTGACATCTTCACAATATTAAGTCTTCTAATCTGTGAACATGGGATGTCTTTCCATTTATTTATGTCGTCTTTAATTTCCTTCAACAATGTTTTGCAGTTTTCCTGTGTAAGTTATTTTCCTCCTTGGTTAAGTTTTACCTCCTTGCTTAAATTTATTCTTTAGTATTTTATTCTTTTTGATGTTTTTGTAAATGGAATTGTTTTATTTTCCTTTTCAGATTATTTGTGTATAGAATACAATTTTTGTGTGACCTTCATTTCTTATTAGTGGTCACGATCCCAACATCTCAGATATGGACCAATAGGGGAGCTCAGGGACTGGGTTTGGTTGTTTCAGGAGAGGAGCCATGCTTGCATCTTCTCACTTGAAGTATGGTAACTTTCTTTTCCCCTCTGACAAACTGACACTCTCTTCCCCTCCATCCTTCAAAATGCCAAAGCTTCATAGCCTCTCAAAATCCATCTCCCTGAACCACCTCCCCTGCCCCACTTACCCGCAGTAAACCCATCATATTGGGAGTCTGTGATCTTATTAGAAATATTTCCATTTTAGTTTTAGAAGTTTGGCTACTTTCTTGCAAGTGGTATAAGCTTGAATACCTGTGAAATTAGAAGCTTTTTCTCATCCTACATAGGAGAGTACAGTCAACTCTCTAGAATGGACAGAAACAGGCTATCTTGTTTACTCCTATATCCTAGGACATAGTTGGTGCTTAAAAAATAGTGGCCAAGGTAATCATATATACACAATACTTCCTGAATTATGAAATGCTCTACAAATATGTATTGAATGCCTATTACGTGCCAGGTACTACACAAGACACCAGGGATGCAAGTGGTATACAAGACACAGATAGGTTCCCTGTCCTCACATAAGTGACATTCTGGCTGGAGAACATAGATATTGAACAACTAACTTTACAACTAATGCATTAATGGCAATCATGCTAACGTTCTGCAGAGAAGTACATGGTGCTACGAAAGAGTGTAACAGATTGTGGGGGGGCTAACCTAGTGAGGTTTGGGGGTGCGTCAAGGAGGGTCTCCCTGAGGAAGTGACATTTGAAGTGAGATATGAAGAATGAGGAGGAGTTAGCCACTTTGGGGGAAGGGGAGAGGAAGACAGGCTGTTGAAAAGGAGTATTTCCAGGTGGAAGAGAGAAATTTCGGGAGGCCCTGTGTTGAGAGTATTAGCTTCCGAGAACAGGAAGAAGAGCAGTGTGGCTTGAGCCCTGAGAACAAAGAGGTTGATGGGTCACTTGAAATTTACAGGATGTTAACCCAAGTTAGTTAGGTGCCATTAAAGGGTTTTACTGAGGGAGTGAGTGACAAGTTAGCACGCAGAAGCTCAGAAAACAGGAAATCCACTAAGGTCAGGTTTCTACAGCAGTGAACTTATTCCGTAAACTGATTATAGATTCTCAGGCTCCTAGTTGACTGAAGTTTTCTCTTTCCAGCCCTTGATTTTTTTTTTTACAGCTTTATTAAAGTATAATTTACATACCATTTAAGTGTACAATTCAATGATTTTAGTAAATTTATACAGTTGTGCAACTCTCTCCGTAATTCACTTTTAGACTATTTCCTTTACCCCAAAAAGATCCCTCATGCGTATTTGTAGTCAATTCCTGCTCTCAACTCCAGTCCCAGGCAACCACTAATCTGCTTTCTGTATCTATAGATTTGCCTCTTCTGGTTGTTTTGTGTAAAAGGAATTGTATAATATGGTCTTCTGTGACTGGGTTCTTTGTGAGTGTGATTTTATTTTTCATCATTTGTCTTTCAGTAACTATGTGCCTTCATTATCTCTCTAATCTTTTCATATACTCCATATTTTCTTAGAAAACAGGGGTAAAGCTTCCCTCTCTCAATAAATCTTCCTTTTCTGATAGATTCCACTGTAGTTGACATTCTCCTTGGATTTTCTGTGCAGTCAGAACAATGGGTTCCTGTCAGAAGACCTGGGTTCACCTCTTGACTCTTGCTACTTTCTAGCTCTGTGATCTGGGCCTCTCAGAGCTTTTGTTTTCTCATCTGTTAAATGAGCCAAATAATACAGCCAGCCCTCTGCTTCAGGGTTGGGGAGGGTGGGAGGCTGGGGTTGTATCCACAGATTCAACCAACCGTGGATCAAAAATGTTAAAAAAAATTTTTTCCCCCCATAAAGCTCCAAATAGCAAAGCTTGAATTTGCTGTCCCCTTGCAACTATTTACATAACATCTACCTTGTAACAGGTATCATAGGTAATCTAGATATGATTTAAAATACAGCTGAAGGACGTACATAGGTTACATGCAAATACAATGCCGTTTTATATGAGGAACTTGAACATCTGCAGATTTTGGTATGGGGCGGGGGGAGAGTGATGGATTCTGGAACCAACTACCCCACTCCCCCACCCTGGGCAGATATGGAGGGACCACTGTGTATTTATTGGACTAAACTATACATTCGTTGTTAGAATGAATTAATCCTTATAGCTAAATCACCTCTTTACATGTGAGGATGCATTCTTAGGACATTAATTTTTTGAAAGTTTTAGATTTTTATGTCTGCTGCCGAATTGCTCTGCAGAAAGGTTGTTGCTATCAGCAATAAGTGCTACTTAACTGGTGTTTTAAATTATTGCCTCTACGTTTTTAAAGGACAAAAGCTATAGAAAGAACACCAATGCAGCTACAGAAAGTAACATGTGTATCTGGTGAAAGAAGAGCAATTTTTACAAACTCAGTTTTGCATGATGATTCCATTATTCTCACAGACAAGCAGGAAACTGGGAAGAATTCTGATATTCCTCATAGCTGCATAATGCACTGAGCCCTTGAATAAATACATCACGTACTTCAAAAATTTCCACTTTGTAACTGGGGAAAGGTATCTGCTGTTTTCACTTCCGAAAAAATTAATTTCTTAGCTATGAAAGCAGTCCTCTCACATACAGAGAAATACGAAGATCTAGGTTATGTCAACGTCACTTCCCAAGCTTCTCAAAAGGCAACTAGCATACACTACCAGGAAACATTATGAAGAAACTCCTACGAACACCTAAAATACAAAACTACGCAGAACACTAGCCACCACAGCTTTTCCTTCTTGTTTCAGACTTAAATGTAGGGGCGCCAGGACCAACGATCACCAGCTGCCCAGATCCAAAAAATTATGCTTCCGAAATCTCTTGATGTCGATTCCGCACGCAGAGCAAACGAGCTGCCCTGCGTGTGCCACTCACGACAGAAGCCCTTTTTGCTTTCCCTTTTTCAAAAGCAAGGTGGCAGTATTTGCAAATCCCTTTTTGGTAAAGGTGAAAACAAAGCCTAGGCAATTTTCTATTCCTTCTTACTGAAGTTGAGGGGGGTAATTGCAGAACCTTCTGGTCCGGAGGGAAGTCTTCACAAGGAGACTCTATCATTTGTCTTTCGATTTTTAATCTAAAACTAAAGTCAGGAACAGGAGTTGGTATGCAAATATGCGCATTGCTTGCTGGGAAGATGCCAGCGGGCACGGAGGGAGGGGCGGGGAGGAGTTTGAGGGAGCGAGTGGGAGTAGCTCTTCCTTCCTGTACTGGGTCCGCCGTGCTGCGAGATCTGCTTCTCCGCAACTGTGGGTACCTATCCGGGGAAGACACAAATCATATCTATTAGAATTGAAAACGCACAAACTTATGTCACTCAGCCATCCACCCTGAAGCGGGCCCAGCACGGGGGCACCGAAGGCACCTTATCACCGGTCAGAGCGGAAAAACTGGAGCAACCTAATCGCTACACAACAACGGGTTAGCAGAATGCGGCGGGTTCATAAAGCTCGGAGTGCCATCTGCTGCGCTTCCAAGGAGTGAATTAGACATCAAAAAACGTTGCGTGATAAAAGTTGCAGAATAAGGTACGGCATGATACCATTAACGTACACACAAAAAAGTAATACTGCACTTTATAAACAGATATTGAAAAATTGTGTGGAAAAGGTGTTGAATAGGGTCCTGCATGATACCACTAGCCTAATAAAGAGCACACACACGTGCACACAAAACCCAGAGCTTTACTTCCTACGCCACATACTTGTAGATATTAACTTATTTTTAAAAGATCTGGAAGAACACATATCAATGATTACCTCTATGAAGGAAGGAGGGAATCTGGATGGGGGCAGAGATACACGAGGCTTTAGATTTACCTGTAATGTCCCAATTTTTAAAAAGCATAATGAATTATTTTATTATTGTGTACTATGTTACTTGTGGAATTAAAATATTTTTTAAAATATTCCTTTCTATATTTTCTCTGTATATTTCATTTTTGAAGTCAGGTTTATTGAGGTATAATTTATATGCAGTAAATTCACCTTTTTTTATCCTATAGTTTTGTGAGTTTTAACAAACGCATACAGACATGTATCTGTTACCACAGTCAATCAAAACATTTCCATCACCCCCAAAAGTTCCTTTGTCCCCTTTTCTAGTCTACCCCCAACCCCCATTCCCAATCATGGCAACCTCTTCTCTGGCCCTGTAGTTTTGCCTTTTCCAGAAAGGCACAAAAATGGAATCATTCACATATGCTTCATTTTTAATATAAAAACAACATGTGCTAATTGTAAAGAAATTGAAACAGTTCAGAAATGTGAGAACGCTTTTCCCAAACTATTAACAGTTTAGTGTTTATCTTGCCAGACTGTTCCCATGTATATATACATTATATACATAGATTTAAGCAAAAAATATTACTCTTCTTAATATATTTTAATAATATATGGAGGTCCCTAACCTCTACAAACTAGAAGCTGAAGAGAAGTAAGTCACATAAACAGCTTACACTGTAATGGAAAGTAGATGTGGAGTATAAACTGGCAGGAAGCCTAAGTCTGGATATAGGCTCTGTCAATTGTGTCTGTTGGGGGCTCCTCCTATAATCCACCAGTTATTTCTTAAAAGCAAATAATTATTTCCTGCCTCTGCTCAAAGCTCCAATGTCTTCCCATTGCATCATAAATAAAATCCTATGTCCCCGCTATAGCCTACCAACTCCTGCCTGAGCTGATCCCTACCTGCCTCTCCAACCTCATTGACTGTCACTCTCCCTATTACCTACTAAGCTCCAGCCACTTTGGCCACCTTGGTCCTTGAGTAAGCTCTTTCCTAGCTCAAGGCCCTCCAGCAGTCAGCTATGTAAGTTTGGTTTATTCTGATAGTTTCTCCTCTTAACACTTTTGTGTACTTGCTAGTGGTCCATTTGTCTACTCCAGATTGTAAACTCTTGAAGGACAAGGATATTGTTTATCTACTATTGTGTATACAGCAAAAGACTTGGCACACAGTGAGCACTGTGTGGAATGAATGAATGTACATTTAAACTGGGTCTTAAGTTGGGGAGGATATAGCTCAGTGGTACAGCACATGCTTAGCATGTATGAGGTCTTGGGTTCAATCCCCAGTACCTCCATTAAAAATAAATATGCCTAATTACATCCCCCACAAAAAAACCAAAATAAAAAGAAATTGAGTCTTAAAAAGATGGATAGGGGAGCAAAAACAAAAATAGTATGTCAGACCTTTAGGAGTGGCAAAGAAATAAGACTAGGAAGGTAGCTTGGAGCCTAATGGTGAAGGGGCTTGGAATTGAATTTGTGGCAGTGTAAGTGGATTGGGAATGTGGTGGGATGAGGATGGCAAGATATAAGCACAGTGGGTGGGGGTGGTGGCAAATTGCTGCACCAATCCAGGTGAGAGGCAGCTTTTCCTGCTGACAGTTACTGCAGCTCACACTGGCTTGTCATAGCCTTTTGCACATTCCTTTATGTTTGCGGGTTCTTCTCCATCTTAGTGTGGGGACCCAGGCTCCAGATGGGACTTAGGCTGGAATCCCATCTTGTTTACATGTCTAGCATCTAGCACAGGATAAATACAGTTCTCAGTGCTACAAAAGAAGTTCTGTCCCTTGATGCACAGCGAGGCAAACAAACCGAAATGCCGGAGTTTAAAGCAGAGAAAGGTTTATTGCAGCGCCAAGCAAGAACAGATGGCTTGTGCTCGAAAACCCGAACTCCCCGACGGTTTTCAGGGAAAAGTTTTTGTAGGCAAAATTTGGGGTGAGGGCTGCAGGGTATGTGACTTTCTTTTGATTGGTTGGTGAAGGTAAGGGGGGGGGTGTTCCAGAAGTACTCAAGGATATAAGAAATATATTTCTTGAGGAGGAACCAGATTCCTGCCCCAAGGGTTCACTATTTTTTCTTGACCATTTCTCCCTTGTTTCTGCATTCCCTCCCTTCCTTGATTAGCAACTGTTTAAATCTGCCCTATGGAGCAGAGAAGTTCAGGGAAGCTGAATGAAGCCTATTTCCTACAAACAAGAAACAGAGGTCACAGAAAGGATTTGGACCTAGGAGGACCAAACAGGGTCCTGCTCTGTTTCATTACCAAGCATTTGCTGTATGACATAATCAAAAGCATCAGCTTAACCTGTCAGAGGACAGGTCAGGCTTACAAGTGAGAATCCTGAGTTCAAGCTGAGTCTCTGAACTTACTAGCTAGAACTTGCTTAATCTCTCATAGATTTCCTGTAAATCATTAAATGATTTACCAGAAGTAAGGGGCTTAGAGAAGTTACTGGTTGATAGTAATTGTTCTGTTATTAATTGCCAATTCACAGCCACAACCGGTGTCTCTTGTCCCCAGGTGTTTCCTGTTGGGGTCCAACAGTATATCTATGGAGTGTTGGTGTCCCAGGATATATTACTGTCCTGATTATCACGACAAAAACACCAACCAAAAATGGGCGACCTCGAAGGCATCCGAGGGCGTCAATTACTGGTCATGCTAGCCATATACACGATAGGCCGAGCAGCAAAAAAAGTAGCAAGGGTAGGGTTCCTAACGCCGCACACCGCCAGTCAACCGCAAGCCGGAAAAAGCCCAAACGCCAGACCTAGCGACAGCGCAGAACCGCGACCGCGTGTCGGAAGGCACTGTGCGCCTGCGCAAGCCAGGCGCGCGCCCGCCGGCCGGAAGATCCGCGCGTTTCCGGGTTGGAGGCGGGGAGCGGTGCCGGAAGTACTCGGGGAGGGCCGAGCAGTCGGACCGGCTGCTGAGACGAACGCTTCACTGGGGCAGTCTCCGCACATCATGGGGAGATAGACGCTGCTGCCTGTGAGTCTTGGGCCCTGGCAGTTGAGGAAGGAGAGCGGGAGGAGGGAGTCAGGACCCAGACCCACAGTGGGCAGTGTTTGAAGAGCCAGGTAGTGTAGGAGATGGGGTTGTGTGAGGAATCAGGCTCTTGGGATGGGACTGAGGGGCTCGGGGCTCGAAGAAGACGTGGCTGTGGGGACCTGGGCTCCAGACCGGACTTAGGGAACGAGGACTGATGTGAGTTCTCCGGCACCCGAGGGAAAGCGGGCTGAGAGCGACAGGATTTTGAGAACCCGCGCTCCTAAGAGGAGAGGGTCGGAACGGAACGGGGCGTGAAGACACGGGCTCCTAAGAGGTAAAAGCGGAGCTGTGAGGACTTAGACTCCTAAGAGGCAGAAGCGGGACAGTGAAAACCTAGGCTTCTAAGGGTTCGGAAACAGGGCAGCGAAGACTTAGGTTCCTGGAGAGGCAGGAGCAGTAAGAGAACACTTGGGTTTGGGAAGAAACAGGAGCGGGCGGTGAAGACCGGCTTCTGTGGGGATGGGATCGAGGCTTGGAGACTCCGAAGTACCTGAAGGAACAGGACTGTGAGGACTCACGCTCCTAAAAGCGGAGAGTGTAAGGGGCCATGGCTGTGAGGAGATCAGCTTCTAAGGGAAAGGGAGAGAGATATAATGATCAATTTTTCTCATATTCTTTGAACCGAGAGTGGTAAAGGATGTATTCAAGGGAAGACGACTCCTTCGCGCTGCCTACTTGGCTTTTGGCAGGCGTTTCTTGTGTCAGATACATTCTAGGAAGCCCACTTGCAAGCATCTTCGTTTTCTGCTTAGTTCTGGAGAAGCACTGGTGTGAAGTTGAAGTTTGAACTCAGTTATATACTTGATAAGTGCTTTCAATCCCATTCCACGCAACTCAACACAGATCTCTGCATCTCAAATAAGAGAATGTCAGATGAAGAGCCAGGAAAGATGACCCTTTTTTTAAAAACTCGTGTTTTACATGAAAGGAAGCAAAAGTCCAAAGAGGCAATGATTGATTGGATCATGGTTTTGATACAGGACCCAGCTCTGCACGCATATAGGAGATGCTTGGTTAATGTTCCTTGAAAACATGCTTCTAGAATCTTTGCTTTAACTTCAAACTCAAGAGGAAAATTTTTATGGATTCTAGTACTTTATTTTGAATATTGATACTGTATTGACATTGATGCAATGAATGTCACCAGCTAGGAAACCTTTATAAGAAGCCCCTTCTCAAAAATTTAAGTCATTTAGAAAACTGCAGATAAGTAAGTTGTATTCTGTATTTTTAGCATAAGGATTTACTGGAGATGGCTGCTTTTAGATAAGAATGGTGGAGAGACTTGGACCATTCTTCAGTAATATAGGTTTATTGAAACTTAGACTAACCAGACACCATCATAAGCACTTTCAAATATTAAATCATGTAATTATCACTTACAGTCCCACAAGTTAGCTATTGTTATTCCCCTTGTACAAATAGGGAAATCAGTGCAGAGAGGTTAAGTACCTTGCCTGAAATCACATGGTACCAAGTGGCAGCTCCAGTCAATTCCAATTATGTGTTTGACTAAAACTTTTGTCTGCTTTTCTAACTGGATTCCTTGCCATATCTCAGTTTGCCCATCAGCAAAATAGAAGTAATGGTTATAGAAAGCATAGCATTGAATGAACAAAGCCCCTCCTCAGGACTCCTCTTAATGTTAAGTACTATAACTTATTGGGGTACTTATGTGGTG